CTCGCCGAGGCCGAGGCAGGTCCGGCCCGCTGGGTCACACCGCGGACCCGCTGGGCGCCCCGCCGACGCGGGCCGTAAGCGAGGCGCAGGGCGCAGGTGCCCTGGAGCAGCTGGGGCGAGCAAGCGTGCGGACGACGCGCGTGTGCTGAGTGTGCCCGAGGGCGTGGGTGCACGGGCTGCGCGGGTGCACTGAGCTGAAACGTGAGCCGGGTAAGCGTGGCCTGCCCCGCCCTTTGTTGAATGCAGCGGGCGGGCCGAGCGCGCCCCGCTCCGCCTTCGCGGGCCAGGCGCGCCCCCTACTGGCCGCTCCGTGCTCCCGCCGGGAGAGGCAGCGCCGGGAGTGCTTGGAAGAACCCTCCCTGCCCCCAGGCTTCCCCACCCCGGCTGTCCCCGGGCCTGGCCGGGAGCCCGGGCACCGTCAGGTCGGCCCGCCTGTCAAGAACTCCACCCGGGGATTCCTGGCCAGTGCGTTTTCCCCAGCACGGGGCCCAGGTCCCGCCCAAAGAGCTCGCTGCTCAGCGGTGGCAGGAGGAGGGACAGGGAAGCGCCCGGGAACACAGCACAGACCCAGCCCTCGGGTGACAGGGACAGACGAGTGGGACGTATCACTGCCCCCACCAGCGGGACACAAGGTCCTTCCCTCCCGTCCCCCACCAGGGAGGCCAGGCAGCTGCGCGCTCGGTGGGGACGTGGAGCTCGAGGCCGGCGCAGGCAGGGCCGGGCTGCCCGAGGGCTGCACTGGGGAGGGACAGAGACGGGAGCTGGGAGCCCGGCACCTATGTCTTCCGCGCCCGGAGGCCATTCTGGGACGGCGGTGAATGGCGCTTGGTGGATGGAGGTGGTGACGGCCTTGGCGGCTTAGAGACGGCGAGATGGTCAGTTTCATGTTGTGTGTACTTTATCAGAGCGAGCAGAGCAAGTGAGGTGGGCGGGGAAAGAGGGAGGGAGGGAGGGAGGATGAAAATGGAGGAAGCGGGGAGGTGAGCGCACCCCAGCTCGGCCAGGGGAGTGAGGCTTCTCACTGCCTTCAGCCTTTGATCTTCCATCCTGGAAATTTTTATTTTTGGACAGACATCTTTATTTAAGAAATCAAATAAACAGTAACAAACGATGGTAGCACCTTTACACAAGGACACTGGACCAAGCTTAGAATTGCTTGTCCAAAAGTCATTTGGAACGAAACGTGGTCCTTTAAGGGCTCACGACAAGCACAGAAACGGCCCAGTGAGGGGACCTGCGTCTCTGGACAGCGCTGTCTCTTGGGGAAGTCACCGGTGCAGGAGGTCCGCCCGCGCCCCAGACAGCGCTGTGAAGGCTGAGGGCAGACGTTAATGACATCCAAGCTTCTCTCTAGCAACAGTGAACCGTGGGAATGTGACCCCCCAGAGTTTAATTTAAACACGGGCTGAGGCGGCCGGTCACTGGGAGGGAGCAGGAGGAGGAGGTGTCTGGGCCACAGGAGCTGTGCCCAGGCAGATGGGACGTGGGCTGCAGTCCAGGCCCAGGCCAATGCGCTGGAGCCCCGGGGCAGCGTGGGGTTCTCAGTGAGCGGGGCTCAGAGGCCCTGTCTGTGGGAACTGCGCTCCGTCTGCTCCGAGGGGCCCAGCAGGGACACCCGCCCTGGCTGCCCCGCAGCCTCCAGGGACAGCTGCTAGGATACTCGTGAGGATGTCACCAGTGCCAGTGGCTCCCAGCCTGCCTCAGTTTACCCCCACCCTAGCCACCACCCTGCACTCCTGTCTGCCCTCTTTGATAGTCTTGATTTTCTTTTTATTGTGGCAAACAGAACATAAAATTTACTCCTTTCTCGTGGCGCTGGGACTGAAACCCAAGGCCCCAACTCGCCGGGCAGGTGCACGGCACCGAACTGCCCTCCCAGCCCCAAGTTTACCCCTTTAGGGATCCCAGGCACACAGTGTCATGTAGCACCTGCCACCCGCAGAGGTCTCGCCTTCCTGAATGGGGGTACACTGGGTCCACACTCAACACCTGCTCCACAGCGCCGCACCACCCCTACTGCCTGTTTCTCCGGAGGTGATGACCCTGAGGATCGAAGATAAATGGAACCACACAGCAGCTGTCCGTTTCTTTGTGTTTGTTTGTTGAGAAAGAGTCTCGCTAGGTTACCCAGGCTGGCCTTGAACTTAGAGCCTCCTGCCTCAGCCTCCTGAGTAGCTGGGATTGCAGGCGTGTGCCACCTTGCCTGGCTGGGTTTGCCCTTTCTGTTTGGCTTCTTTCACTTGGCAGCATGTCCTTAGGCTTTGCCCGCCCTGGGCCCTGTTCCAGTTACCTCTGTGCCATGGGCCCAAGTGCTGCCCATAGCCAGTCTGCACATGGCTTTGTGCCACCTCTGCCTCTGGGGACATCACCCTCTGACTCCCAGGAAGGCCTGTGCTTGACAGCTTCCCAGGCAGTGGCAGGCGCCCCTTTCTGAAGCTCCTGAGCCTTCACCGTGGCCAGCAGTGTTATGGGCAGTTGTCACAGGATGCCACCGAGTCTGCCCTGCCCGAGGAGGCTTGGGTGCTGTTTGCCGCTTGCTTTGGAGAGGGCTAGCAGAGGCTGCAGTCCCAGGCAGGGAGCTCCATCTGTCCCCACAGAGGGCAGGTTTGTGGGCAGCAGCAAGGAGGACTTCAGGCCAGAGCCTGGCTGGCTGGTTGGCAGGGTGGCCCGGGCACTGTGGGCACCAGGGCCTGGAAGTCGGTGCACAGCAGCGCATCTGTCCGGAGATGCACGGGGCTTTCCTTGTGTTATTCATGATGACCCAACCTGGGCACCCGTTCTGTGTCTGGCTGGTGGAGCATGACGGGGTGGCTGACCAGGCACCTGCATGCTGGACACAGTGTGGCATTTAGCATCCAATTCAGGAGGGGAACTCACAGACACGGACACGCTCCTTACAGATGCTCAAGCCACGGACACAGCAGGACACAAGCCCAAGTGGGCACGGCCACCCAGTTTGGGTAAGTAAAGAAAATGAAGCAGGGATCAGGTGGGTACCACCCCTTCTGGCCCAGCATCCGCTCAGGGAAGCTGGGGAGCTGGGGTGCGCCATCTGCCCAGGGCTCCAGAGATCTCCCCCACACATGGGAGGGGGCGTGAAGGGCTCTGGGGATGACGTGGGGGTCTTGAGTGGGGTGCTGAGATGGGGATCCCAGGATGTGGGCTGACGTCTGGGGCATGGGCTGCACCAAGGGCCAGCTGGACCCCCACGCAGCTCTGGGGAGGGTGGTGCGAGCCTCCTGCCTCCTTCCCCATGTCCCTCTCTCCTCTGCTCACCCGGAACAATGCAGGAAGCAGACTTCCCTTTGGTTGAGCTAAGTCACTGAGCTTTACAAAGACAGAACACTGCACCACGCCGGTCCACGTTTAGAGCACACGGGGTTGCAGCCATTTGCTGCGGCTTGGGTGGCCCCTTGGATGTGGCCTTCTGGGGTGGGGTGGCCCCTTGAACACGGCCATCTCCGTGGCAGCTGGATGAGCCCCAGGGCTCGGCATCATAGCCTGGTGGCCAGGTGTCCGCAGGGTGCCGTGGCTGTGGGTCCCCTCACACGCTCGCCCCAGGAGCAGGGCACAGTGCCCATCCCCGATCCATGCCTGCCTGCCCCTCCCCCAAAAGCACAAAGCCTCAAAGACTCAGAGGCACAGGTACAGGGCAGGAGGGAAGTGGAGACTTTCCAGGCTGCTTCCCTTCTGGCTGTTCCCAGAAAGGGCTGGAGGGCGAAGCACCCGCGCTGCGGCTGCGCAGGTGGGCCTGGGCCTGGCCACAGCGCCGTCTCCGCGAAACGAAGCTGCCTTCCCAAGTGGAGAAAGAGCAGCTGGAAGGTGCGGCCCAGGGCCACTGTGCTTCCCTGCCCTGCATGAGGCCTGGGCTCAACCCCCAGCTCTGTAAAAGAAAACAAAAACAAAAACAGAAAAAGGAAAGAGAAGGAAAAGCACAGTTTTCGGACACTGCTATGTCCACAGGCTGCTGCCCCGGCTCAGGGTCCTGGCGTCGTCCCCCTGGGCCTAGTTCACAGGAATTCATCAACCCCACCTCCAGATTACTCTGGGGCTGATTAAATTAGCAAATGCAATCACAATCTCAAGCGAGTTAATTGAGAGAATTTATTTGGACCTGACAGTTTTATGCATGTTTGATTAAGTATTATAAGGTTTGTTTTTGATTTTGCATAATTTAACTTTAAATCCTGCACTGGGGGGCCCATCAGCCATCAACGACCAAAATAACCCTCTCTGAAGGTGCGTCCACCTATGATTGATTTCTGAGTGCAGCGTCCCCCAGGTTTTTTGGGCGCCGTTGCCAAAGTGACAAATATGTTGAAAGTAACATTTTGAGCCACCCCGGGCACCCTATAAATCTCCTGGAATGCATGCAATTCATTAAAAGTTTTGAAAGAAGTACAAGTTAGCATTTATATGGCAACAAGTGACATATAAATGTGTATGTTTGTCTTCCAAAGGTGCCATAAAACATTGCCTCCACGCTGGTTCCCTGGGAGCCCTGGAAACGGCCCACACTCCAGGGCGCTGATCAGCCCGGTTACAAATCTTCTCCAGCGTCAACAACACACTGTTCAATCAGCACTTGAGTCTTTTTGTGAAATTGGTCCAGGAGGAAATACAACCCAAGCCTGGGTCCGGGGCCACCCCAGGGTGAGCGCGGACCTCAAACTGCAGCCTCCAGTTGCCCTTCACGGTCTAGGTCTGGGTTTCAGGAGGATGGGCCCACTAAGCACCCACAGCCTGCTGCCCCAAAGGACCATGTCTGCCCTCAATGTGGAAGAGTGGCCACTCCGCCCCAGGTCTCTGTCCACCAGCCTACTCTGTGGCCTGCCTTGGTGGGCCGTGGGCATTTCCGTTTTGTGACAAGGCATTTATTGAGTGCTTCTTTTTTATTTTTTTGTCTTTCTGAGACAGGGTCTTGCTCTGTAGTTCAGGCTGGTCTCAAACTCACAATGATCCTCCTGCCTCAGCCTCCAGAGTGCCTAAGTGTTTCTTTTGCTCCAGCCTTGACTAAGGGTTCCATGTCAGTCTTCTTTTGCTTTTTTTATTTTTTATTTTTTTGGCTTTTGAGACAAGGTCTCGCCATGCAGTTCAGGCTGGACTTGAACTCACTTTGTAGCCCAGGCTGGCCTCAAACTTGCAATGATCCTCCTGCCTCAGCCTCCCAAGTGCTGGGATTACAGGTGTGCGCCACCACACCTGGCTTCTTTTGCTTTTTTTGGCTGTGCTGGGGTTGGAACCCAGGGCTGCGAGCAGGCTGCGCAGGTGCTCGCCACCAAGCCACAACCCCAGCCCCAGGGAAGGTGAAGTCACTGACCCCAACCTGAGCTCTGCCCTTACTGCTTGGCCGGGGGCAGGGGGTAGGAGGGGCTGTGCAGCCGCCCCCAGTGGTCCCCGATGCCTGTCACACAGGAGTGGACGTCCACCCCTCCCTCCTGCAGGCTGAGTCTGCCCCAGGCCACACCAGGCTGAGGCCAAAGGCTCAAAGCATATGGGTCTCCGTGTGGAGGCAGCACTTTAACCCCCAACCAAGCAGGTGCCCAGGGCACACAGGAAAGAGGAGGCTCTGCCCTGGGGGCTTCAACCAGAAGCGACAGGGACAAGGCAAGGCGAGCCCGGGAGTGACACAGCTGGAAGGAGGAAAGGAAGCCCAGGCTGGAGAGGGCACCTGTGGGGAGGGGCGCGGCCTACTGAGGCCTGTCTCCTGTGGAAGAGGATTCTCTGGCCCAGCATCCCCTGACCTCGGCCTGCAACCTCTGCAGCTGGAAGTGACTGCACCCCACCGCATGTGGCACCCTGCTCTAGCCGCCCAGGCAGGTCAATGCCAGTGCCACCACATGGTGGCCAATGCCTTTTGGGGTAGCGAGAGCCCCTGAGTACGTGGTCACACGTGCACCGGGCAGACCCAGGGGCATAGTGCAGACTGGCACCCAGGAGGATGACACCACAGCCCACGCTGCTGCTGGCCCCCTCCAGGGGCTCAGAGAGGCAGTAACTGGCTCAAGGTCAATGTTACTCTACTCGTAAGGGGCTGGGACCTGGAGCAGAGTCCCCTGTGCCTCACTAGCCTGGACACAGGCCTAGCTCCTCCCAAGCCTCTCAGCTGAGGGACACTATCCTCTCCAGTGTCCTCACATGGTCGTCCCTCTGTGCCTGACTGTGTCCTAACGTCCAGCCACGCTGGATTTTGGGCCATCCTAGTGACCCCATTTTACATTAAAATTTAAAGGCTGTGTCTCCAAACCCAGTTACTTGCTAAGATCCTGGGGACAGGAGATTCAACATGTGAACTTGTGGACACAATCCAGCCCATAATGAGCCTTTCTATCGTTGTTTGAGTCAGGAGCTGAGCTGCAGCCACACTGGGGCTGGGTCTGTCTTGAGCTGTGGTCCTGTGAAGACTCAGACAGGGCTGGAGACCCCAACTCCCAGTCTGCTCACCGCGTGGCTCTGGAGGGGGTTCCGCTTCTCCTCGGGCGCTCTGTGCACCTTCCCAACATGGCGGCCACCATGGGAGCACCTGACATCTGCAAGAGCCAAGGCGAGAGAGGCAGAAGCCACAGGGTGTTTTATTGCCTAGCCTCAGAGGTCACTCTGCTGTTCTGCCTCACATCCTGGACACACAGGTTGATCCTGGGCAGTGTGCAAGGGACTTCCTGGGGAGGGGACCACGGGAGGCCACCTGGGAAGCCGGCCCCACTCCAGCAGTGGCTTTTCCTGCACCAATACCCTCCCCCCCGAGGCCTGCGTGTCCTGACCCTGCCTTGCAGAGGAGAAATGGCTGATGGGCTGACACTGTGCCTTTGGGAGAGCCGGTAGCCAGGCTGGAGGCTGGGTCTGAGCAACCCACTGTGGGCTGTTCTTCATGACACCACCTGTGATGTCTGCAGTGACCTCTGGGGCCCGGCCTGGGACATGAAGGAAGGCACGCTCCCTAGCACTAGGGAAAGTCTCTGTGGAGATGGCAGACCCCAGGATTTCACAGCAAGGTATGCCACCATCCCTGTGGGTTGGGATTCTGCCACCAAGTGACACAGGGAAGCAGCCATCTGACAGCGTGCACTGGCCCACAGCAGACCCAACCACTAGTGATGCCCGCTGGGTGGCAGACACAGCAGCTGCCAGTGGCGGGTGGCTTTGTGGTGTGACCAGAATCAGGACGGGAGGTAAGAGTGGCTTCTTGTTCTACTCCAACTATGAGACAGAGCCCCCCATGGTGGCACAAATGGCAGCATGTCCTCAGGCCCCCACAGGGGCTCTTGCCCCTTCCTGCCTGGGGGCACCACAACCATGCATACGCCTTTCAACTCAAGGCTTCTCTACTCCCTGGCCAGGCGATGTCCACAGGAGCCTCCATGTGGGTGCCCATAAAGCTCCTCACCCACTGCCTGGCACTGAGCACCAAGGGGAATATCCAGGAAGCCGAGGTGGGCGCTGCCCTGGGAAACAGCACGGTGTGGTCACTCGGACCTCGTTCTGTGGCTCCAGCAGCCACAAAAGTGGCCAGAGCAGGAGGGCAATGGACTCACTCTCCGTGGGCCGGCAGCAGGTGGCCGCAGTAGAGCGACCTATACAAAGACCACGTGGAAGCTGGGCTCCCTGTGCCTCATCCCACCTGCTGTCCCATCACAGGTCCCTTGGCAGCCAGCCACAGACGGGGCTGGGGTGGGGTTGTCACTGAGCCTGAAGTCACACTTGGCTTCCCCAAGGGCAAGTCAGTTCAAAACGATCGTGGGGGGCTGGGGCGGGGCTCAGCGACAGAGCGCCCGTCACCCAGCACGGAAGAGAGAAAAAGCAGTATTACTCGACTCTGACTCTGGACATGAGTCCTTGCGCCCCACCTCCACCCGCGGACAATCTGGGAGGGTGGCTGGGGTGGGCTCACAGCTGCCTGCGCGGCAAAGGAAGGGCTCTGTACCTCCCCACAGGACAAAGGCCAGGTGGGCAGTGGTTTTGAGTAGCCAGGCGGCAGGTGCAGCCGGCTGGGTGGGCGCCTCGGTCACGGTCACAGCAATTCTGCTGCAGGACAGCCACAGAGACGCCCCTCCAGGGCCCTCCCCGCCAGCCAGCTCCCCAGCCTGCGCACTGCACGCACTGCCCCGGCAGGTGGCGCCAGCCCACTGTCAGCAGGACGTCCCGAAAGACGGGTGGCACCTGCTTCGCACTGTCCCCTCCCGGGGAGTGACGCCTCCCCGAGTGCTGCTGCCTCGGCCCTGCTGCCCACCAGAGGGACGCGGGCTGCTGCATCCCAATGGCTCTCCGGACACAGCGACAGGAACGCAGCTGGCAGGACGCTCGTCGCTGTTGTGGCGTTCACACGTGTGGATTCGCCCAGAGCAGAAGGACGGGGAGCCCCGGCTGCGCACGGCCTCCCCTCCCTGCCCGCCTCTCTCCGACCGGCCCGGCCCGGCCCCCGCTCCGGGGGACAGAACTGTAGCCCGCAGGGTCCAGGGCCCCGGGGGGTGGTGGCGGGGGCGGAAGAAACTCCAGGTCCGATCATGGACGCGCACGCGCACTGCCGACGGGCGGGGGTGGGGGTGGGGTGGGGCAGTGACGCGTGCGCAGAAGCGCCCCGCCAGGCTCGAGCGGACTGCTCCAGTATAAAACAAGCCGCTCAGCCGACGCTCGTGGGCGGTGACGTCAGGGGACGCTCGAGGTGTGCGCACGCGCGCGTCCCCGCAGCAGCGTAGACTTCCAGGACGCTCGCGCGGGCTAGAGACCAGCGCCGCTAGGCTCCGCGGAGGAGCGGGGGGCGGAGGGGGCGTAAGCCCGCTCTACGGTGGCCGCAGAGGGACGGCGCTACGGCTCCCACGCTGGGCCAAACGCCTCCGGCAGTCGACCCTGGGTGCGCTCTTCCTTTCAAGCCGGCCCCAGTCAGGGGTGGGTGAGGGGCCGCGCCATCACCCTGATCCCTGGGCAGCATGCGGCCGCCCCGCTCTCGGAACCCCGGGAGACAGGGGCGCCCGCAGGGCCGGTCGCCGGCGCCGCTGGCCTGCCGCGTGATCCAGGACGTC